AGTGGTATTCAATAATATAATATTGTAATTTTTACGGAGATATTATAAAAATAAAAAGGAGTTGTATATTCATATACTTTTAATGCGTATACAAATTTAAAGGAATTGATGCAATACTTTTTAATAAAAAAATTTTGTTATTTATGAATAAATACACTAAACAATAGGAACTTTCATCAGAAAAAAATGTATACTTTTCTAAATAAACTTTTCGCGATGTTTTCAAATGTGCAATTAAAGTTTTTCTATTACTTCTAAGTTTTAATATTATTACTTGTTATTAAAAAAATAAGTATTTACATATAAAAAAAAACTATTAAGAACAAAAAAAAATTGTATTAAATTAATACTGATTTTGATTTTTAATATGTTAAAGGTTATCATTTTGAACCTACTTTTTATTGTCTTTTAAAGTGAAAGTTTTAATGAAAAATACCTTCTCAGCTTCGCATCGAAGCTAAAAAATGAATTTGTTACCATAACTTATAGTTCAACTTGCAAGTTTGAAATTGACATTATTAAATTGAAAAAAATGAAATTTTTAAGATTAATATGCAATCAGGAAATTTTATAATTACTATTTACAGTACATTTATCAATAAAATTGGCTATTTAAGCTAACTAAAATTAAAAAATTACTTTTTCAACTTTAAATAAGTAAAAAAATTTTAATAAGTTTAATTTTATATGTCTTATAAACTTTATTCTATGTCAATTTATATAATATTCATGAAAGTCAGTTTATTCCCCTAATAAGATATTTTAAAATAAAATAAAATACAAAACCTAGAATTTTAATAAAAAATAGCATATTTTTGAATACGGTAGCCGTTTGCGCATAGAATATAGGTCGTCGGGACAAATTTTTTTTTTNTAAAAAAGTTGCAATTTTAAATCCCCCCCCATGAGCAGGTTAAGTGTTAAATTTTCAAAAAAATGATATCAAATGAAAGGAAAATATCTAAGGTTTTAGTTTAAAAAAAAAATTATGCTGATTTGTTTTTTTTTTGAAAAAGTTATGGAAGTTTTAAGAAAAAAAAGTGAAAAAAATGACAAAATTTGTCGATTTTTAAATTTGTAATTTTTTTGGATATTTCCCCCATTTGCGGGGAACGAGGGAAAATTTTTAAATTTTTAAGGGTAATGTCTTCAACTAGATACAATTTGTGATCCTTTGACGTATTGTTGAAAGAAATCGGTCCAGTAAGTGCTGAGAAAAAGTAGTGACAGACACAAAAAAAAAAAAATAATAATAAATAAACACATCATGGTAAAATTAATACCTTCTCAGCTTCGCATCGAAGCTAAAAATAAATAAAATAGAGTGGTTTCAAAAATGATAATTTTATCTGTACTTAATACGGTAAAATTACACAATTATTATTATTCGAATAGTTTATTTTAATTTCTTTAAGAATTTGAATGAAATTTAGAAAAAAAAAGAAAAATCTTTAACATTTCTTAAATTTTATTTTGTTACATTCAGTTTAAATATATTAATTATTGAAAATAAAAATACAACATCTTACCAAACACTCCAAGTAACTAGTTAAACGACTGAATAAAATTCTGATTAAACCTTTCAATTAAAGTCCTTGAATGTCAAATAAATATATTTTAATTAAAGTAACGATTATATTAATACTGAAAGATGAATCAAATCAACTTAATTTTTTTTTTTTACACTCATTATCACGATAAAAATTACCCGAAAACAGTCCCTACAAAAATGTTTTCAAAAAGTACTGGAATAAACAGTACACATTATCATAAAATATGATCAAGGTTGGTGTCATAACACATTCTTAGGGCGGTTCTAATCATTCAAAAAAGAAAAAATACACATTAAAAGACATGTGTCCAGAGCAAGGACATGACGTCTTAAACATTTTTGAATTGGCCCGAAATGTTGCCCTAAATGTTGTTTTTTACTTGCCAAGAAATATTTACCTCTCAGAAGTATGTTCGTTGACACAATATGTTTATTTATAACTGAATTTTTTATTTATATTTTTTAGTGTCAGTCTTTTAATGACAATTAAAAAATTGAAAAAAATTGTATAAATAATAAATTGGATTCATTTTCGGCATTTTTTGGAGATTTTTATTAATATTTGATACGATGACATTAATTTTTTAAGTATTATTTTTTTTTAATATTTATTTTGTATTTAAATATTAGTTCTCAACTAGATTTAAATGATTTGAATCTCTTATTTTTATTTTTATTTTCCTATTATAATATTTTCTTTTTTAGTCGTTATAATATTTTTTATTGATTTAATTTAATTAATAAACTTTGTATAATCCGAATATATATTTTTTTCCTATTACATGTCAATATGTCAGCAATGTTCTTCAGTAAAACAAGTGAATTTATATTTATGCAATTTAAAATATTATTTTTTATCGATATATGTGAATTACACTTTATTAATAACTTCAACGACTTTAAAAGAGAATCCCTATTAATTTTAGTAATTTAAAAGTATTTTATATCAAAATAACTCATATTTTAACTAAACATTGTGATATATCCTTTAAATTCATATATTCCATAATAGTAAGTGTTTCTCCAATCTGTAGTCCAATTTCCAATTAATTATTTTCAACTTTGTCCATTTACCATTTTATTGGTCTATTAGGGGTCTATTTTCTTTGGAATCCCTATTTAGTTTCATCAGACTAATAGATTTCCAGCTTATTAATTTATGCACTTTTAAGCCATGTTAAAATTGTATTTTTATTATTTATTTTTTACAATAAATCAATTACTATTATAATTATTTTAATTTCAAATAATCATATTGAGAGCTTTTCTTATAAAATACTTAATGAGTCAAAAACAATATGAGTAAGAGTACTTATTGAATAAACTATTTAAAAATTATTTCTTTATATTTATTAGTTATAATGCTATGTATAAAGTTTTTGAAACAATATCGTTAAAAGAAATCGGTTCAATGAGATCTGAGAAAACTTACTAATCAAGTCCTATGAAATTCCAAAAATCATTTAACATCAATGTATTACATTATATGCTGTATTATATTAATATTAACCGATTATTTTTAAAAATTAACACTATATATTGTATGCACCGAAATAAATAATATTTCTGCTAATTAGTTGTACTGAATTAATTGGTCTGTTTAATTTACTTTTTTATTCTTCAATAAGCTAAATGGGTGTTTTTTCGACAAATAAATCATTAGACTGTACACTCTTACTATAATGAAAGTTTATAATTTATATGTAACACAATTGAGATATCTTGTCAGACGCCATCATTAAAACGCTGATTAATTTGCATTTATCTTCTTATTCTCGCGTCAAAGTTTTCATATATCATCAATGAATTAAATTATGAAAAAATAAAAAAAAATTTTTTGTAAGACCATGTTATTTAAAATGTGTTTTATGACACGTTATCTTATGAGTGGAAAGTAAAATGGAGTGAAGTCCTCCAGAAGAATGATATTAAGTTATTTATATTATTGAATTTAATATAGATATTTTTTTTTTTTATATAGCTTAATTTATAATATTTAAATAAGATTGTTGTATTACTATGGATAATTTTTATGGTGAATGTGCTTAAGCAGCGTATTACAAATTTAATAAGTCATAAAAAATATAGAAAAAACTGGTTTAATTAGTAATAAATTGAATAGCATAGAACTTAGATTATTAATAGGATTCATTACAGATATCTATTAATAAATATTATCGTGTAAAATATTAAAGAATTAAGTATAATTATTTATATGTACCTAATTTTAAAAAATGCAATACATTTAGTGTAATATTTCATTACACAATAAAAGTAAGATGAATATCATAAAATCGTTCAATCTGTATAAAATACAAATTTTATCATACAAGATGTTCAATGAGAAAAAGACTCATTTTTAATAAAAACATTTTTTAATTTTGTTTTCCTTAATGAAATAGCATAGGTGCAAGTTGGTTTTTGAATCATAGTGTGCTACCAAATCATAATGGATTTTCAAAGTAAACATATTTTTGGATAAGAGTTTAATTTTTATCCTTACTCCACTATCGAAAAATCATACAGATAGTTTAATAAAAATATTTTAGCCAAAGAGAAAATTAGATCAAGATTTACCTAGTGTTGAAATTTGTAAATGGAAAATTATAAGCGTGAACGAATTATTTTATAACTAAATGGCATTTTTTTTTATATCATATTTTCTGCAAGATTTCAAAAACACAAAATAAATAAGGGTAATTATACAATAGTGTATTATTCTGACCCTAAATCCGAATTTGGTCTTCACCCGATAATCAGGTTTTCCTTTTCTTGGAAAATTTATGATACTAAGGCCGTTTAAAAGCCACTCCTTTTGACTGGATTTCTTACAATATATTCCATTGTATTTAAATTATTAAAGAAATCAATTTTCAACATAATAACGAAATATTAAATTGAAATTTCAATGAAATACATAGTATTTACTATATTCTACTAACACATAGAATTTTATTTTTCAACTAATGCTGTTCTATACATGTTACTAAGAAAAATAAACAAGCAATTTTTGTACGTTTCCAAATATTTAAAAAAAATATTTAGTTTACGTTTTCTGTTTTTAGTTTCTATGGATACAATTTTTTATTTATAAATTAGCAAACATTTTTACTCTCTGATCACTTTGAGAATTTTTATACTTTCAAGATTATTATCCATATTTTTAATTATTCTCAAAGCCAACGTCTTTGACATCTTTAAGTTTCAATTATTGAAATTATTTCTAACGATGAGCACGACGACGCAAAAATTGTTTGCCCAACTAAAGCGATTGCATGTAAACCCTACTATTTCAATTAAGAAAAAAAAAAGTCCAGCATAACGATGAGACATGTGTAGTTCAGCGTCAAAAAAGTATGAAATAACATTTTTTTTATCATTGGCTATATTTGTTATTTTTTACAATAATAGTCATGCTTAATTTGTTAATTTTTGTCTAATATTTTAGCAGGTTACGATAATAACAAAAACTATGTAATAGTTCACATTTGTTGAAAAGGGCAAACACTTTTGATGAATATGAGCCCTCGAAGAGGTGTAAATATTCAAGCTGCGTAGAGTTTCACTCTAATAAATACGGGCCAGAAAATAGAGTAGTGTTGAAGATAAGGGCTACATCTTCAATATCTGATTCAGACGACGAATCGAAAAATACAGAAGATTCAGAAACTGACTATGATTGCAACGGTACAAAATTTGTTTATACACTTTAATGAAAAAATTTATAATAATAATATTTTAATTCGCATTTTTTTTTCTTAAAAATTTAATAGGACTTTTCCCTAACACAGCACGGCCTACTGAAACACGTGATTGTATGTTTACGAAGAAAAGTTCAAACGCTCACGACACATGCAAATCGTTGAAGAGACTCGAATACTCGAGTAGTGTTAAGATTTACGTAGCTCATTCTGATGAATTGGAAGACAGAATAGTGTTAAAAATGTCAAAAATATTCAAAACAAAACTAAAATATTAGACATAACTCTAACTCAATTAATTTAGATCAAATTTTGATGGTTTGTATCATCTCTAATTGCCAATAATAGATACATTATAAAATATTTAATTTTTATGAATGAAAATTTGAAAATTATATATTAGGTGGTTCGATTAAAACTGGATATTCTGTAATAATGTAAACAAAATTGTTATAAATAATAAATTTCAAAACTTCATAAAGTAATTAAAATTGTCAATTACAATCAATACAATAAAGTAAGATGAAATTTTTTTTAAATCCTCCTTTATAAGTTCCTTTAGAACATACTATAAGATTTTTCATTTTTTTAGTTTTTTAAATATGAAAAATGCTTCAAGATATATATCAAACCTTTATTGCATAAAGGTCCAGTGTATCCAGCCGCACAGGAAATTCCATTACTATTTGTGCAGAACATGTGTTTACAAAAAGTCATCTTTTGTGAACACCTAGTAGGAAAATGAGCTCCATATTTATTTTTACTGCATTCTGTAAACAAAATTAAATAGGTTAATTGTTTTTGAATAATTTTAAACGGTTATCAATATAAATATATATAGATGAATTGATATTCGTAGTCGTTATTCAAGTGATGACTATTTAAAATTTAACTTTAAAACTTACTCCAAAAAAAAATTTACAAAAAAGTCATTGATCTACAATTTAATTTTTGTTATTTTATTTACTTGGATATATACAAGATGAAAAATACAAGTGTTATAAACAGATTTTTATAGGATGTTTTACGAGAAAATTACAATTCATTATTTTTAAAACTTCCAGTAAAACACTACCAATTTTATGAATAAACATACCAAGCTTATCTTAGTTATTTTGACTACGTGCATTATCACAGTAAACCGGTAGCTCTTTTTGCTACATAAAATAATAATGTCACCGTTTAGAAAAACTACTGAATTTTTTCATAAAATATCGTAAATTTTAAAGTAGCGTATATTGTTTAAAATTCATAATTTTTTATTTTCTATTTTTGCTTAACATTTTTTTTTTTTATGACGAAAAAAATTTATATAAAAATAATAAGGGATTGCCATTTGAAAATCTGAAATTTACACAAGTTCTAAGTATAAGAGATGATGAATTGTTCATATACATCTTCTATTTCTAATTAAACAAAAAATAAATTAATTGGTTTTTTAATTTAACAATGTTAAATAAAATCAACGATTAAAATATTTATAATTTATATGTTACCGAATATAAAAGACATTATTTACTTACTACCGGAGTCTGTACATTAGGCTATTAGTTTTAAGCCAAATGCTATTAATGTGTTTATTATGTCCGAAAAATGTCAATTGACTATTAGGAAACAACAAATATAAATTTAATTCTATATTCATACTATGTCAAAATATTTTTTTGTGGTAACACATTTCAAAGAATATCAAATTTGAATACCTGAATTTCGTTTTTTTATTTTATAAGCTAGTTAAATACGTATGTTGGCATTTACAAAATAAAGTTCAAGACACTCTTCTAAGGTAAAATAGGTTGGTTAAAAAATTACTGATTAATCAAGATATATGAAATTAAAAATACCAAAATTAATTTTCTTAAAATAATAATTATTTTAAGAGACATTTGAGTAACCATTATTAAAAGTATCACCTAGAAATTTAATATGCGTAGTATTTAGAGCTTAAATTATTTTTGCACAAAGTTTCTCTCGACCGATTGTTGAACATATTCGCACAATGGTCAGTAATATATAAAGTATCTATTCTTAAATGTAACATGAGCACTTATTTTAATATGTGGAACGTACAAAATAATGAAGGGAACACAATTTTCTCTATGTTATTTCGTCATTTTAAGCCTCAATAATACTTTAACTATAGGACAAAATTTGTTAGTAAGTATATTAGGAATTCTTCAGAGAGTATCTTAAAATTAAAGGGTAACGAGGGGCCCTTAAATACTTATGGCCGGCCAAGCGGTATAAAACAAAATAGTTAATCTCAATTAAAACAAACAATAAATAACATTAAAGATAATATAAACTCAGCTGAATAGATGAAGTTGTTGAGACTGTATGAGATCTTGTGATAATAGTGTCAAACATCTGAGTGTGACGAGTCAGAGTGTAGATCCAGGCACGTAATGGCAGGTGAGAAGCGACTACGGCAATGAAGATATTTAGTGATGGTCAGGGTCCAATCACTGGTGGCGTGCAAGGGTACAAGAACTTGAGCACAAAGGTACAACAATAAATATTAAAAACTATGACGTACAACGGCCGAACAATTTACCATTAAAGGGAAGGCGCTTGCTACAGAAAAATAAATGACACATAAAACTGGCTGACTGACTTATGACAATGAAGTTTACACGGATGACAATTGACACGGAGATCATCGATTTGGTATGCTGGGTGGCCAAAAGGAGTGAGTAAACCAAGACGCTGGAGATCAGCTGTCCCACGATATAATATAATCAACGATGTTAGTAACAACTGGTCTACTAAATCTTTGTTAAAGGCGTTCTGTACCAAACAGCTAATATGATTTACAAAATATATAAGAATAAATATATTTAGTATTCTTCCGTTCAATATTATAATTTTGTAAAAATTAGTTAAAAGCATAACAATTCATAATTCAGGCTAAAAAACATTGTTTGTTTTTAAAACTATGAATATGCCAAGTGATTAACAGTGAAAATAAATATTTATATCGAATAACTTAGTTATTACTACTTCGAGTGTCGAAGTAAAAGTTTTGCTAGTTTAAATATACGCGTGTCATCAGCAATATAAAGAGTCAAGTTTAACCTGAACAAAAGTGGATATATCAGAAGTCTGTTGAATAAGTTTAAATCCTTGAAAACTGTAAGAAGTGTACAATATTTGAACATACATACAAATTGAAAGGCACGGCTATACGTCATCGAAATTTTATTATTTTATAGATTCTGAAAAAAAGAGTTCCAGTGCTGATTTTAAATTGTAGAGAAAATGTCACATTTACTGTAAAACGTGTTTCACACAAAAATATAAGAGTTTCGCAGGTTTGCACTTCCGATAATACTTAACAGAGTTTTCCGAAAGATAACAAGACGAACACAAAAAATCAAATTGTGCATATGTATAACTTAAAACACTTAAGACAACTTGTCATAAATTATTTTCAAAGCCTTATGACTTTAGCATGCATACGAAATCCAAAAAATGAACTAACATATATGTCAAATCCAACGGTGGAAAATATCGGACAGAATATTCAAAGATTTACATAGTAATGTCACTGAATTTATTGACCCTAAGCTAACCGAGCAAAGCGTAGAGAGTGACGATATTCACGAAATGTACGTAATCTCTGATTTGATACAAACCATTTGTGAAAAACTTGAGAAATTGTAATCTAAGGGTATTGAGAACTCCACGGAAATAAATAAGAAAAAACTAATAAATTTTATTGAGAATGAATATATATTAGGTAAAAACCCGAAAGACATTCAAAAGGAATTGATGTCTGCCGAATGTAATGTCTATAAATCCACTTCAATTATCAGTCAGAAAGACAATAATAATAACTCTACTACGGATTCTTTTATAACGCCAAACGTTTTATCTGATTCCAAAAAAAGTTCTATAGTTGGAAATATTAGTAGTTTAAGTGATTCTGTCCCTTGTGATTATTTACCTATTGTTGAACAAATATCAAACGATAGTCATCGTTCTATGGAAACGAATGTTCACTCAGAACTCGAAGGCAATTCAGGTACTGGCGATTGCTAACGCAGCGTTAGAATGAACAGGATCTTAAAAAAACACCTAGCCTCATTGCTTATAANCGTTAGAATGAACAGGATCTTAAAAAAACACCTAGCCTCATTGTTTATAAATTACCATTCTGTGAACCTTCAACTAGTCGCGAAGTAATTGTTTGAACGCAGCGCCCAGTGGTATTCACGAGGGTTCGTTAGCGCTCGTGGTTTTGTTTTATCTTAAATTTTTAGCTATGTCGAGGATAAAGAATAAGGTGAGTGGACTGTATGTTTGAATGTAGAATAAATTTCACAAGATATAATTATAACAATTAAATGTATTATACAAGAAATATAAAATCTTATAATGTGGATAAGGGGGGGCACTAAATACTAATGCCACTAAGGCGATGAAATAAACAAATAATAAATTATACAAGTGAGTCTTAGAAAGATAAATGAACAAGCATTATACTTATCTGCTAAATGAAACGGCTGATGATAATGTTGAATATTGAAAGGATCAATTGAAGTCGAATGCAAGTAGCTGACCAAAGTGTACAATATGCTGTCAAAGGTATTGTGATGTATCTCAGAAAATATATAGACCCAACGGCGATAAACTGAGCGCACAGGGTACGACAATCACAAAGGTGATATTTTCTTTTTACAGTAAAAAAGAATACAAAACTACTGACTCGCAAACGCCATAGAGCTTATAACAGAAGAAGCGTTAAGATGGCTGCGACAATGGTAACATAGAGAGAAAACCGACAACAACTCAATGTAACACAACGATAACATGAATAATCAAAAACACATTTTCTTGACAGCACATTCGATCGATGTGTATCCAACATTTAGATACAAAATTTAGGTACAAAATATTAGTATTGTGTCCCTACTAAGGGCGCAGTACTTATGTTTTGTACATCGACTGTACTGGTATAATTCACAAATGATAATGCTTTTGTGTACTGACCTACAATACTGGGACAATACTGTCTCAGTACTCTAGGTCAGTACAGATTTTACACTGGCTTAATAATGGTACATTACTAGTGAAGTACAGGCCCAATTATAATTTAGTACTAGTTTTAACCATGGTCGAGTACAGATTCTGTAAAACATTAATAACAGCGCAATACTAATCTTAAAATGGCACATATAATAAATACTTAAAAGTCGATTAAAGTTTTGTAATACCACTATTCCTTAAATTTATATTAGCTTCGATGCGAAGCTGAGAAGGTATTGGTTTTACTAAGATGTGTTTTTTTTTTTTTTTGTGTCTGTTACCACTTTTTCTCAGCTCTCACCGAACCGATTTCTTTCAATGATACGTCAAAAGATCACAAATCGTATCTAGTCGAAGACATTACCCTTAAAAATTGAAAAAAATTCCCTCGTTCCCCGTAAATGGGGGAAACCTCCAAAAAAATTACAAATTTAAAAATCGCTAATTTTCGAAATTTTTTCAATTTTTTTTACTTAAAAGTGCCATAACTTTTTCAAAAATGAACATATCAATATAATTCTTTTTTATATAGATGCATAATATCATTACCTTTCATTTGGTATATTTTTTTCATAAATTTAACCCTTAATCTGCCCACAAGGGGGGATTTAAAATGACAACTTTTTCACAAAAAATTAATTTTTTTAAGTTAAATTTTGAAAATGTTCCGGAAGGTCTGACACTTTTATATATATCTTAAATTAAAGCTAATATAATATGCTTTATTATGCAAAAAAA